TGGGTTGCAGGCCAGAGATGCCGTTCAATGTGTGTGTGTGTGTGTGTGTGTGTGTGTGTGTGTGTGTGTGTGTGTGTGTGTGTGTGTGTGTGTGTGTGAGAGAGAGAGAGAGAGCAAATTCCTGGGGGAAAGGCCGATACCTCCATGGCATGTAGAGAGGATACACTCAGGACCGAGGCGTGTTTTCTCTACGAGTTGAAGGTCTCATTTTCAAAAAGATCTAATTCTGCGAGCTCTGTGATTGAAATGCTTCAGTTCCTTTTTGCATTCCTCCCCCGCTATCCGGCCTACCTCTAGCGCTCAACCGCAACCCACCCTACCAACTGGTTTGCAAGGGCTGTCTGGTTCCTTTTTGCACAGGAACAAATAAAAATCTGATTTTGGTAACCATCAAGTAGAGGCGCTTTTTGGGGTTGGGTTTGTAGTACTGCGCACTTTTAATTCACCTAATGCCTGCAAAGAGCCATTTTCACTGACAGGTTATTATTACTATACTGTAAAGAACTCTCTTTCTCTCTCTCACACACACGTGTCATATGGCCCACAGGCATAAAACAAATGGAGTTCTTAAAGGGTTGGAAGGAAATATTTGAGAAGTGGCGCTGTGAGGCCATGCTTTTGCTATGATTTAACTTTTAAAACGCCTAATGAGATGTTTTATTGATGGTTCATTAAGGCAGGAAAGTCTCCGTGTTTCTATAATATACCCACAAGCAGATCAATATATCACAAGCACACAGAGACACTGATGGCTACAAAGAATGATTTACCCCTGAAAACATCTGTACTAGATTGGAAAATCCGAGCAAGAAAAGGTCTGGTTCCCTCCCTCCCTTAAAGAGATTATGTAACAAAAAGCTTCAGTTTATATAAATTGGCTGCATTAGGTTTTTACAGGGGTTTATGGTAAATTTCATTGTGCAAGGTTTTAGAAGTGACAGGGCTGTAGTTGAATGCGAGTTGATTTCTCTCTGTAGGGAGACAATAATCCGGTTAATTGAGCCACCAGGGAACCAAATCCTTCAACCAGAAATCCAGAATCTAGCAGACCAGATAGAGACCAAAACCACTGAATAGCTCTTAAACATGAGATTCTGTTTCATTTAATGGCGAAACAAACACCCTCCCCCCCCCATCTTCTCCCCTTCCAAAAATTAAATAAAATATAGGCCGGTGGAACCAGTCGCCTGTGACTTCTGCAAAGATAATAGTTTGGAAAATGGAGTCTTCACGGTGCTTATTTCAGGGTGAAGCGATGGGGGAGAAACTTTGGGGATTATTTGATTGATCATTAAAGTTATTGGAGATGGATTTCCTTAGGCGTCCATTGGAATTTGGGGGGCAGGATCGGATCCAAACACTTAAACATTATTAAAGTTTAGACTTCGGGGGGGAAGGGGAGGAGGTTGGTTGGAGAAAAAAGAAAGAAAGGAGGGAGAGAGAAATAACTCGAATTTGGAATATCAATTGTTCCTCCGGCTTCCTAGAAAGCCCTGATTAACCACTAAACTTCCTGTTGGATTTCAGTCCAGCTGACACGAAACAGTTTCTCCTATTTCCTCAACGATAATCAACACAGCTCCAAATATGCTTAGCCCATTATTTAGGTTGTAAAAAAAACAAAAACAAAAAACAAACAAAAAACCCCACACACCTTCCTTAAACGCTATTTCTTTGAAAAGCTCGCTCAGTTACCAAGGGAATTTTTCTTATACCTATCAGGGTTGTTTTCTCACTTAAAAGGCTCGTGTTTGGCTACACATAAACTCATGGGAAGCCTTTATTTTTCATCTGGGCTAAATCAATCGCAAGGAGCGCCCTGTGCCAGTATTTTTTAAACAAAAATCTCGCTTTGAACTCGGTAAACTCTGCCTGTACATCAGTGGCATAATAGAACCCTCTGTCTTTGTTCAGGCTTATTTAAATCAATGGGAAAGACTGATTTAAAAACGGTGTAAGGGGGCCTATATTTGGGAGTAGGCCTTATTTTTAAACAATTAAACAAATAATTGTAGGCATGTTACCATTTGATGCATTAAACGTATCTATGTCCAGCCCCACTTTAGTGGAATATAAGCTCACAAACTATGTGTTTCTCCCGATAGGGAAGAAGAAAGCTGTGTCTGGCTGAAGTCCCGGCCTTTGTAGGGGGAATGGCTGGTCAGTGCGGGTTGCTTTTTATTATTTTTTACCATTATTAGTATCATCATTATCTAATCGCTTACTATGAAATGCAGTTTGTCAGCTCCCACTCGCGGGCAACCTGACTGTACATGGCTTTGATAGGAAATTTTCCGCACCAAATTGTACCATGTAATGTTTCTTATCGAGGATCCAAAAAATATGTATAGTTTGTATTTACTGCTTTAGTGGCGTCACAAGCCTGCATTTATTTTTCTACCTAATCTCCTTCACAGCTTGGCAGTTTTGAGAGGAGAGACAGGCGAACAGAATTTACAAATAAGCTGACTTCCATTTGGTCACATTCCTTCAAAAGACTGAAGCCAATTTCTTTTCCTACCCAGTCAGATCACTTTCCCTTCGCTCATTCAGTCAATATTGTAAAATGAATGAAAATAGAAAAACCGGCTTCGTTTTGAGCATATTCGAAAAGTTTCCAAAATCTACTAGGTAAATAATTTTCTACCTAAAATATATTTTAAAGAGGCACATTTCCCCGTGTACTTCCAGATTAATTAATTAATGTTTAGCTGGTGCTGGGCTTTTTATCTGGTGCAAAATAGAGGAAGGGAAGGAATCATAATTAAAATGGTAAGGTCAGTAGGAAAAATAATGTTAAGAAAGATACAAATAAAGAAGCAGAGAAGCAGAGATCAAAGTTCCCTACCTACAAGGAAATCTTGGCTTATTTTGACCATATCCTTCTTTCCCTCTCTCAGTCACCCATAAATACAATATTCAGAAATTAGGAATGTCTGCAGCAGAAATCTCATTCCGCCTGATGTGCCAATACGCCGTATTGCAATCAGACTTCAAACAGTCGCTTTAAAATTATTTCATCCCTTGTAGACTTTGTGCACAGGTTAGAACTAGCTGCTTGTAATGTTTCCATGGCAAAGTTTTTTTAAAAAAGAGCGAGACACCAAATTCACGTCCAAAGATTCACCAAAATCAACATGGGGAGGGACAACATGTCTATAGACAAGTCTATAGAATGTCCCGCTCAATATCGTGAAGTTAAAATCCCAGTCTTCTACCAGTGAAATTCACTAATTTAGACAAAAAGAATCTCTCTCTCTCCCCATTATGGGTCATACTTTTGTAAAGCTTGGTAGCAGCTTTCAAAGAACTGATTGGCGGTTAAATGAATTCTGATCACCCTGAAGTTGTTATTGAAATGATATTGTTGTTTTAAAAAAACCGCTCACAGCTCCCCTGCATGTCCAACAGTGAACGAATTAATCTAAACCCATTTCTTCCGGGCTCTTTTAGTTTGTAAATATTTAGAGGGCAAAATTCCAAGAGTCTAAGGGGCGAATTCTCTACGCGCGATGTACTAGCCAATTACCCTCTGCAAAGACACAGCGTCGCAGAACGAAATTGCTAAAATAAAATCTACGAATGGCGTTCTTGGACATGTACTTACTCGTGTGATCAAGCAGAATTCAGACCTTTACAGGAGCAAGGAAATTCTGCGGGTTTAATCTAAGAAGCGGGTTCATTTGTATGTTTTTTCCCCAGTGTTTTTAATGGGCCCCCGTCCGATGCTATAAATCCTCACCCCACCATTTAAAGTTTGTGTGAAAAATTCACACACCTCCCCCCACTATTTAAAGCTTTGTGAATAGTGCTTATTTATCCCTGATTTCTGGACTGTCGGCCGCAGGTGTAAAGAACCCAGCTAGAACCTAGAGGAGCGATAGCAAATTAAGACACCCCTCTCCCCCCAAGAAATAACAGGGGACCGAATCAACCCGCTGAGTCTTTTTACCCGGAGACAGGACAAGCGCTTTCCTGGATGCGAAGGGGGAGTGTAGAAAATGTCAAGCGCTTTCAAATGCCTTCACAGCCGACCAAGGAGTGGAAAGAAAGGCTAGGAGGGGGAGGGTGACGTAGAAACCAAGCCTGGGGCAGCTTTCATCGCGGGCTGGGGCAGCTGGCGACCTCGCCTCCCCTCGGCTCTTACCTTTGTACTCCGAGTCGGACGAGGCGTTGCTGCTACTTTTGTCCATTTTCTCTAGAATCAAGCGCTTTCAAATGCCTTCACAGCCGACCAAGGAGTGGAAAGAAAGGCTAGGAGGGGGAGGGTGACGTAGAAACCAAGCCTGGGGCAGCTTTCATCGCGGGCTGGGGCAGCTGGCGACCTCGCCTCCCCTCGGCTCTTACCTTTGTACTCCGAGTCGGACGAGGCGTTGCTGCTACTTTTGTCCATTTTCTCTAGAATGGAGTACGGCGCGCAGGCAGCCAGGGGCTTGCAGTCGGCGAGGATGTCCCTGATTAGGAAAGCCGAGGTCACCGTTCGGGACTGGGAAGGCGCCGAGCCCTGCCCCGGCTGGAGGTGAGATTCCAAGCCCGCGGCCGCGCCTGGCCGGGGGGCCCCCGCCTCCAGACATTCCTTCCCCGGCGAGTGGGGAGACGGGCACCCGCTGCTAACTTCGGAGCCGGGGCTTAGTTCCAGGGGGGACCTGCACTCCCCCATCAGCGGGTCTCCTTTGGGCGCGGCCGGGCTGCCGGCGCGGTGGGACAGGATGGAGTCGATCCCAAAGGCGGTGGAGCCTTCCATGGCCAGGCTCGGGCCCCAGCCCCAGCCGGTCGCACCCTCTCGGCCCCTCTCAGGCTGACATGGCCGGCAGTCCGGACCCGGCGGGCGAGGGTGGGGCTGAGACAAGGCAAAGTTCAGTCCGGGGTCCAGCGAGCCCGTTGGCCAACAATTCCCGGCGGGGGAAGGGCGCGGCGCATTAGATCCACGGCTCAGCCCGTCTCCTTCAGCATCCCAGCCAGCTGCGGTCAGGGGGACAGACAGACAGACAGGCAGAAAGAGAACAAGGATTAAAAAGTCCAACTTTGCTCGGGGACACCCTCCCCCCTCCCGCACCCTCTCGATTTAAGCCCAACTCCCCCTCCAGAAGAATACATCCGCTCCGCACTCCAGCGCCCGCAGGTTGGAAGGGGAGGGAAAGATCGGTCCAAGGGGGTTTTCAGCGCCCTAACTAGTGAATGATTAAAAAATCAATGCGAGGGGGAGGGGGAGGTCAGTGGGGTGGGATGGCTGGGGAGGGGGGGAGGAAGGGGCCCTGCCAGCACCTCGGCCGGATCCTGCTTCGGAGCTAAATCATCGGGCTGGTCCAGCGACAGAAAGGCTGGCTGGAAGGTTCAGCGGCTGGGAGCGGTGACTGCTGCGCCCATGGTGTCGAAATCGCTCAATGGGTCGCCCTCCTGGCCGCGTCTGGGGCGCGCCGCTTTCAGCACCTCGGACAGAGGCAGCGGCAGCGGCAGGGGCGGAACTTGTTGTCACTTTAGTTTGGGTTTCTTCTTCCTCGTCGTCTTTTTTTTAAGGTGCCCCGGCCACGTGTCTGAGCATTCTCCCTTCCCATTGGCTGGGGGGCTTTTGGGGTGATGTCACACAACTGACTCAGGAACCTGATCTCCTTTCAGTTTGATTAAAAGAGACACTGAATTAATTACAGCCCAGCTCCAACTGTTTACAGTTGTCACTTTAGTTTGGGTTTCTTCTTCCTCGTCGTCTTTTTTTTAAGGTGCCCCGGCCACGTGTCTGAGCATTCTCCCTTCCCATTGGCTGGGGGGCTTTTGGGGTGATGTCACACAACTGACTCAGGAACCTGATCTCCTTTCAGTTTGATTAAAAGAGACACTGAATTAATTACAGCCCAGCTCCAACTGTTTACAGGCAATTTCCACCCTGTTTGCTTTCATTACACCATTGATGAAGCTCTTAATGGGGTTATTACCCATAGGGGGTAGGTCCGGGTGGATGTGTGTGGGTTTGGTAGGTTTTTTTAACTTTTGCTTTTTCCACAATTAGCTGAATTATTCGTTCCTCTCACGCTGAGAAAGTTTTTCTGCGTGTTTAAAAAGAAAAAAACCCACGGACGAAAGATTTAAATGCTGAAGACAAGAAAGGAGCCGTGAGACTTTTCTTCTCCTCTTTCAATTGCTCTTAATAAGGACCCCGTTTCTTTTTTATTATTTATTTGCATTTGTTGGTTGGTCAAACCCTCTTCTCTGTACATTGTTTTCATTTAAAAAATAATTTAAATGTTCTTGCTCCGTTGCCGGACTGTGTCTAGCGAAATGCTGGTTTGCTTTTGATGGTTTTTTTTAAAACAAGCTAGTGCTAAAGAGGTAATAATAGTTAGACTAAAGCCACAAGAATAATAGACTCGTAAATCGAGCAATCGGCAGTATATATCGTTCTAGAGCCGAGAGAGGAAATAATAATAACGCAGGGGACGGATCCAGATCAGAATGGTCTAGCTTTTAATGAGCTACTTCTCAGATCCACCAGGTAGAAAGAAATCACACACAAAGGCGGGTGTTACCGTACTATGTAGTTAGTACACAGAACAATCGATAGAATCGTAAGGGGGGAGGACGGTTCTCATCACTGCAAACGCTAAAGAATTTTACCTGATTGGCTTTTTTTTCTGCTAGTCTAACCCCTTCCACTAAACCCACGAGGCAATGGGACCCCATTCCTCGTTAAACGCCTAAAAATGATCTTTATACCTGAGCCACTCACACTCCGTTCCCGAGTTTTCAGTTCAAGGCAGGCGAAGCTACTCTATCATATTCTCTCAAAAGTCTTCCAGAAAGGCAGATGAAATAAAGGGTTGCGGGGCTGCATTTCGGTGAGGACTCTAAAGGATCCTCCGCACCACTTTTCTGGAACCACCTTCCTATTTCCCCCAAAGAAACTGGTTTTTCCCTTCGATTTTGTAGCTCTTTTTTATCTACAGATTTCCTAAGATCCTAAAATCGCTGCCTCTAGTTGAAGGGGCTAAGTATACCAATCGGAGCAGAGTTTGTAATTAATTCAAGTTACTCCCTGGCAATGCATCTGGGAGAGCTCCCACGTCCTTTTAGCGGGTGTGCACCTTCAAAAGGTTTGTAGACAAATCTGCCTGTCTGTCCATTCATCCAGGTACTTCTATCTAGTAGGGTTTTGTCGTTTCTGTAGGTTACACTGCGCGGATCTGTCTGCATAGTTTTGTTATTTCTAAAAACAAAACACGAAAATCATTGTTTTTCTTTCGCTCTCGCTTTTTATTTATTTGCCTCTTCTCCTTCCGTCCCTTCGGTCCAGGCGGCTGCTGCCTCTTGTCCTTCTTCCAAGGATCCCCGCGGCCAGCAGCTTGGAAGCGGGCAAATGCACCGAGCTTCGGGACTGCAGAAGTTGCGTCGGATCCCCCGGGAGGATGGAACGCGGCTGCCAGCTGTCACAGAGGGGCAGAGCCTGCCAGCGCTTCCAGGACTTACTCCTGGAGTTCTGGGTCGGACTTTGAGCCTCCCCTCCCCCGGCCTCCAGCACGCGCTCGCCTCATGTCCAGGCTAATACATTTCCTTCTCTGGTTCCAAGAACAGACACGCACCCACAGTCTAGGGGCGATTCTTAGCGCGTCCTTCCCCCCTGACTCTGTGTACGGTCGCTTCAGCGGTGCTCAGCCCTGATCCCCCCTTGACCCGGGTTAGTGGTCCTCAACACCGTCCTAATTCTGCCCAGCCCGGACGCCTGCTATGAAGTGGTCAGGTAACACCCGGGCGTCTTCCGCTGCTTCCCGAGAGGGGGCAAAGCTGCTCTTCCTCCCGCTGACTGCGATCCCAAACTTCGTGCGTGTGGAGTTCTGATGTGGGCTTGGCCAGCCGCTGCCTTTAGCCTCCCCATTGAAATCGACCATCCTCTGCCCACACCCCACAGGGTTTTAGAGACGTATTCGTTCTCCTTTATTATTCATTCACTCTTATTAATATTGCCCCCCCCCCAGCAGGCTCGCACGCTCTCGAACTTGGCCAAGGGAATCTTGCGGTGAATTTCTTTCCCTCTCTTTTTTTTAACGGGGTGGGGGGTGGTAGTTTCAGAGCTCCCTGCGCAGAGTCAATACAGAGACTTGTTTCAAGTGGCTATTGGCCGTTCTTGCTTTAACTAGAGCCGTGCCACGTTGCAGCCCAAAGTCCTTATCAGCCAAAGGGGTAGTGATGGGGGGGAGGGAGGCAGGGCTTGACTTATAACTGTACCTCGGAAGTTGTCTTTTTACAGGCCCCCTAGATTAATGGGGCTCAGCACTAGCCCGGGGAAGTCAAGGGGAAAAAACCCTCCAGTTGGCTGATCAGGCGTCTGTCTCCATCCCCAGGAAGAGCAAGAGCTGCAAATCTCCCTCTTCCAGGCGAGTTTAGACTCGGTACAAGTTGGGGGAATGGGACGCTCTTTTCCGGCCAGTGCTCGCTACCAGGACTCCGACCCGATCGCTTTCTCCCTGGCGGCTCTCGAGGGAGAGGGTGTTTCTGTGAGTCGTTTGCTTTTCCACAGGGCGCGCCGCACAAGTTCGGGAAAGTCCCCTCCGGAGCCAGCCTTCCCCGAGCGGACGGGGTTCCGCGTGCGCCTAAATCGGAGCAAGGCGGGCAGCCCGAAGAGGCCGTTTTGCGCCGTTTCAATTCGGATGGAACAGCTCAAGGTGGATCACGAACGCTCTTTGGGATTTCCTGGGCAATCCGACGGGATTAGCTGTGCTACCGTCTCCCTCCCCACTCCGCTGCCACCTGGTTTCTCTGCACAGCCAGTGGCCAGGACTTTAGCCTCTCCCTGACAAATCGGGTTAAACGGATTTGGGGCGATTGGTATTTGGGAATCACGTTAACTCGATCGGTTAGATTCCAAAACGCGAATCGCCTCGTGGCTCAGTTCTTGAGCTAAACCGCGCAGTGTGAATGAAGTGAAACCCGACCCGGGTCGGGTTCCTCTGACCCGTCCCCCTCCTCCCACTCGCTTCATGCCCCCCTAACAGCTCGGATCCCGCGACTTCTCCCCAGCAGCCCAAACCCAGCCGTATTTCGGAGGCAGTTGTGGGCTTGCCTCTTTTTAGGGGTCGGAGCAATGCAGCCGGTAATTGTCTTTTCAGATGTGACAGGACCCATGATAAAGCAATTCCCCCGGGGCTCTGTATCTGATGTTGCTAATAATAATAATAATAACAGCGACATGCCATTAATTAATACAAATATATTCATGCGCCGGGGAGGGGGGGGGATATAAATTGTTTTGAAATTGGGACCTCAAGTTGTCAGCTTGCATTTACTGGTAAAGCACCAGCGTTACAACGCTTTGGTAAGGTTCCCAGGTAATGCAAGGTAGGGGTCTTTCAAAGGCCATCCTCATCAGTCACGTATATTTCATTATATTGGGGGGGGGGCAGAGAGGGGGAAATGACTACATGCAGATGAATTTTCACCGTTTCCAGAGTTTTTACACAGTAAACTAGGAAAACGGAAGAGGAGAGTTGATTTTAAGCTCTTTGGAGCAGGTTGTGTTAAAGGTTTTTTTAAAGGACCGATTTGATTTTTCTGTCTGGGTTTGGAATCTCTTCCTTTACTGTCCCTACCTCTACAATGCATTGCTATTTGGGGATACCAGAGTATCCCTAAATAGCTATCCCACGTCTTAACAGCAAACCCATTATTTCGGGCTTGCTATTCTAACATCCCTGTAAACCTCGTTTCATCAGGAGTAAGGGATGTTTTGGAATAGCGGGTTATTTCAAAATTTGGTGCTGTGTTGACAGTGCCAAATGACGAAATAAGCTATTTTGAAACAAGATCGAAATAAGATATGCAATTTGTGTAGCTCAAATTGCATATCTAATTTCAAACTTCAGTGCAGTGTAGACATAGCAGTCACTGCATGGTAAATAGTGCTCTCTGTAAATATGTTCTGTGGAGGTAGGGTCTGTGTTTTGGTTCTGTGTTTGTACAGTGACAACCATTGTGTGGTCCTGGTCCATTGCTTGAGCTGCTGGATGCTAGATCATTAATAAATAAATCATATTAATTAATATATGTCATGATTGAAGGTGGCCATACGCCAGATTTAATCTCCCAAAGATTTAAACACATGCCTAACTTTGCCCAGGTGTTAGTCCTCTTGCCTTCAATTAAGTATAAATTAATTAGGATTGTAACTTCAGTGAAACTAATCACTCTAGACATGTGCTTAAGTGTATGTAGGGTCTGGACTTTTCACCGACTCTCCCTTCTAGCTGAATCTGACAGTGGGGGAGCTAACGCAGCAAAATATATGTAGAAGAACTGAACACCGGATGGAAGAGCAAAATAAGAAATGTAACGCCATTACAACATAGTATGATACACTTTGCCTTTTGTAATCCTCTTCCATCTGATGTCCTCACAGTGTTTTCCAAGCAATTAGTGTGGCATTCAACTGTTTGTGAGGTAGGTGGGTGTCAGTTAGATGTGCC